ACAGCCTCCCCTAACCGGCCCTCCATACAATTTCAGAAACCTAATGTGGCCCTCAGGCCAAAAAGTTTGCCCGCCCCTGCCCTAGAAAGCTAAAATGGATAGTTCATTATCTATAATATTTTAAGAATGTATTAATATTATTAAGCTATTTTTTCAATAATCTAAATGAAACTCATGACACCTTGAGAGAACAACTCTGCTTTTGAATTTACTATACATATTTAGCTGCATATTGATCACATATATATATATACACATGGTATGTATGCATAGGGGTATATGAAAACAATTATTTTAATCAGAATGCAGTAGTCTCTGTACAATACTTTCAGACATACAGATTGATATTCTGTGCTTTTACAAACTTGCTAAAATGGCATTATTTTATTTTCCAACTAGCAACATTTAGCATACTGACATCAAATCACTGCTGCTGTTAATATTTTGATTACTGTATTATTCATTGTGCTGATATCAGCATGCACAAAGCACAATGCCATTGGTCAGATGGGTTTGAAAATGTAAGTTCCAAATCTACTCTCCCAATGGCTGAAACTTCACAACACTGGAAAAGCCCCAGGACATAGTCAGGAGATGGGATAGCTAGCAGCAAGGAGAATAAGATCCAGCAGTTAAGAAAGAGAAAAACCAGCAGCCAAGACACAATCCAGAAGACATAACAAATCCAACATTTATAACAGTTAGCAAAATAAGGACAGGAAAGCTGGTAGTGCCAGAAGACAATATAGTACTGTAAAAAAATACCACAGAGCAGGCAGTGCCATTATATCAGCTGACTAAGAGCGACTTTGTCTGGACAGAGTAATACCCTAAAGCAGGATGGACATCTAAATCACGTTGTGCTTAAATTCCCAGATCCATTCCATGCATTTGTAGTAACCTGTTATGCCTCAGAGATTGCTGTCAGATTTGCACTTTAACAAATTGATGAGCTTGGTAGGCACAGACCAGTGGCTTTTGGAGGTTGCAAATTAAACAAGAGGAAAACCTAGTATTCCACTATAGAACGGGAGTTTTTGGCTAGTGTGTCAGAACTGGAATGTCAAGGCCTATCATCCCTATTTATGAGGTATGCAATTCATGGTGTACACAGACCACAGTGCCCTGTAGTGGCTCCTTACAAAGCACAACTCAATGTTTGTGGAGAAGGATTTACAAACTGTCAGAATACACATTCACAGTTCACCATAAACCTGGAAAGCAAAATGTGGTTATGTATGCTCTCAGCTGGGTGAGAACAGTGAAAATAGACTCAACCTGATCTTGTGAGGACATCTTGCCAGAACAGCCTAAGGACCCTAAGTTATGTTCAGTGCACCAATAAATCTACCAAAGTAGACACAGACTGGGGAAGCTCAATGCAGTTCAGGAGATTGATCTGGATACCAATATGCTGGTGTATGAAGATAATTGGATTGTTTTGTCAGCAAGTTTTCAGAGAACAGTACTGGAGTGCCTTCATGACAACAAAGCAATAGGCCACCTGGTTTATGAAGAGACATTGAGCTGGGTATCCAATAGATTTTTTTGGCTAGGCATGGCTGCAGATGTTAAGGATGGGGTACTTACCTGTCCTTATTTGGAAAGGAAGGAAAGCATCAGAAAGGAGATGCACTCTTTTAGTAGAAATGTTAGAACCTAGTAAGCCCTGGGAGTTCATACAGATTGACTTGAAGGCCCACTATGAGAAACACCAGTTGAAAATCAGTATGTGCTGGTAGTGTATGACACCTTCGCAAAGTATGGAGTGGCACAGCCACTGAAGGATAAAAGGACTCAAACAGTTACAGCTGCCTTGATTAAGCATGCAATGTTACAGTTTGGCCCAACCAAGTGGCATCAGCAGGAATCGAAGTAAGTAATTTGAATCCTGGTTATTACACAAGGTTTGCAAACAACTCCAGATAACCAAGGTGAGGACCAGTATCACCCACCCTGCGAATAATGTGGGAGTGGAGAGAGTAAACTGCACCATTGGTTTCATGCTTAGCATCTTAGTCAGTGAAGACTAATCAGACTGGGATACAAACATACTTTTTGTCATTTTTGCATATACCACCAGCTGACATTAAACTGTCCGCTACTCTCCTTGTGAGATTATTTTTGGACTCTGCAAACCCATCCCTCCCTGTGACTTGAAGAACAAGCAAGGCTTCCTGTGCCTACACATGGTGGAGTCTTATATCAGTGATCTGAGGACAGCATTTCAGAAGGCAGAAGAATAGATGTCCCTGGCATGCTTGTTTTTGGCTCAAGATG